GGGGGCAGGGGCACATGCCATGTACTGAAGAGACATCCTGCCATGTACCTCCTGCTCTCATTTTGTTTTTCTGGCATGCTGGCACTCCGGCACCTTCCAAGGTAAGCATTGTGGGGGTTTTTGGCACTCTGACCAAAAAACGTTGCCTACCCCTGATCTAGGCGTAGTTATGCCTATGGTCTACTTTGGGTATCTCCCATGCTTCTGGGCTTTGCTGGTTGCCCCCTCATTTCTTTCTGTTACATGTGGTTTTAACCCTTCCTCAGAGGCACTGGGTGTTGGCTGCAGCCACAGCTGGGGATTTTGACTGGGGTATGCCAATGCTTCTGCTGGTACTTAAAGTCAGAGGTTCCTGGCTAGAAGGTCTTGCCTCTCTGCCCAGGCAACCACCATATTTAGGGTCAGGAAGGAATTTTACCCCATGGTCAGATGGTACATACTGCACCAATATTAGCAACCTTTTACATGTATTAGTAACCTTTGGCAGAAACATTGGCTGCTGTGGTTCCCCTGCTTTACCTATTGTAGGTTAGGGTGTTTGTTAATGCCTTGTGTTTTGTCAGGATTGTTGGTTGTTTTACAAAAAATTTAAATTGTGGATTTGTATAGGGTGGTTTGGATAGGATGATCCTGCCTCAGGTAAGGAGTTGGATTAGATGACCTCTGGAGGTTACTTCCAACCCTACTTCTCTATGATTCTATGATGTTGGGGACAATGAAACTGGTAAGTCCCGCATAGGTCCACTGCTAGATGCAGATGGTGAAACTAAACATGATGCAGAAAAAGTGGAAATGTACAATGCTAAATATAGCCATTAACAGGCAGATATCAATAAAATGGGATTACTTCTATTTGTGGCTTCCCAGAGGTTGTCCTGTTCCAGAGCTACTTAAATTAATTTTATCAACAATCTATCAACATTGACAACATTTGCAGTTGTCATAAAAACTGAGTGATACCAGATGATGAAGGCAAGTTACAGAGGGACCTGAATCATTCAGTTCAATGGAGTCAAACAAAATGTGTCTCAATATAGCCAAACTGAAGACAACGCACGTGAGAATGAAAAACACAAGTTATACTTACAGGATGGGAGACTGTTCAGCTGTCAATGACAAAGGTATTACCAATGCTAGAGGACTCAAAAATGGCAGGGAATTGATTAGGGAAGAGATCCAATTAGGCAACTGTGCCCCCAGGTGTAAAAATGCCAAAGTCCCTGCAAGTCTCACCTGGGGGAAAACCTAGTAATGACCTTAATACACTAGCCAGGCATACAGGACAGAGGTCTCCCTATACTATCTGAGAATACCTATACATCCCATCCAATGTTTCACCTCAAGTGACAACCAACTTCTAATGTTTAAGATGCAACTAGACCTGGAGGGAGAAGGGGAGTTCCCTCCTATATGTATCTGAAGCTTTGAAGCATAAGATCACGATTCTTATAAAATCACAACTGCGGAACTATAAGTGTTATGAGCATGTTATTGGTTATGTAGGTAGTTCTGCTCTTCCCAAGACCAACAGAAAATGAGTGGACACACCTAGATGTGAAGCTTCAAGGACCTGAGAGTTCACAGTAACCATCCAGCAGTTAGGGTTACCATACGTCCGGGTTTTCCCAGACATGCCCTCTTTTTTGGACCCCTGTGCTGTGTTTGGGCAGGTTTTGGAAAAAAGAGCTAATGTCTGGGTTTTCTGCTGTCCCAGACTGGCTGCTTTGGGATGGGAGCAGCAGGCAAGGTGACTGGTTGTCGGGGGTCATGTGCTCCCCACATGGACTCAGGTAAGCCAGCAAAAGAGAGACACCGAGAGAGCAGCAGGGCTGGAGGAGGGGGCAGGGGTCTGTGGGTCGGGAGTGAGGGGCAACAGCAAGAGGTGGGGGGCAGGGTACTGCTCTTTGTGAGCGAGGGGCACAGACAGGGCTGGGGTCAGTGCGTCCAGAGTCGGAGGCAGCAGCGGGGGTGAGGGTAGGGGGGGTTGTGGCTTGCCACTGAGCGGGAACAGAATAGGCAGAGGCAAGGGCAGGGCACCGCTGCCCCGCCATCATATTCCCCCTGACCTCCCCCTCTGCCCCATGACTGGTGTCCTCTTTTTTAGACCTGGAAATATGGTAACCCTACCAGCTTGACCCCTCACATGCGGGGATGCGGAGTTGTTTTTCTCTAGCGAATGAATAAAATTATATCCTATAAAAAGTGATCTAATATTGTCCAAAAGACCCCAAGCACAAGATGGGCTATAGCCACCCAGGGTAATCCACTCCAGCGTTTAATTACCCTCCCATTTTATTCCAAGGTTGAATTTATTTAAACTTCAGCTTCCAACTATTGGATCTTTCTGTGCTTTATCTGGAAAGTTAAAATGGCTTTGCCCTCATCAGATAGTTTTTTGAATATGCAAGGGTCTATACATAGTGACTGAATCACATTCAACCTTCTTTTCAATAAGCTTGCATAGTAAACTCGTTAAAACTCGCATCATAAGCCTTTTTTCCCAGCTTCTAAAATCAGTTCTTAAAACTTCTGCCAGCTAGAAGCTTTACCATCCAACTAAAGATGGTGTAAGAAAAAGAGTCATATTCAAGCATTTATGTAAAAAAGAAAAGTATTTTTACCACTGACAATGTTATAGCTTGTAAGCTTGTTACAAAAACTAAAGCCAGAATACTCCTATTAAAAAAAAAAAAAGAAGGAAAATAACTTATAAGAATAAACAAACATCCACAGTACTCAACCTGATAGAAGTTTTCATGTAAAACAAAAACCACGAGAAGGCACAAATGCAAATCACAAATCACTGAGTAGAGCACGGATACCCTGAGATAAAATTTAGCTCAGTGTATCATTTCATCAGGAATTGTGCTAGTTTTCCATCTATAAAGAATTAGAACAGTAAAGAAATGTTTCTGGTTCCCACCCATAAATCAATTACAGATTTTTAATAAGCTTTAGAAAACTTTTTAAAACTGTTTGCACACAGTTATGCTTGATGCTACAGCCAAATTTACTTTTCCACATACCTTTTGTGAAATTGTTTTGTTTGGATTAGGAACTTTTGCTGAAAACAAAGGATCATTCTGAGAGCTACTGAACATCATTAGCTCATCCTTAGAATCTGCAATCTAAAACCGAAGAAAAATAAATTGAAATATAAAGATTTCTAAAAGTAAAAGTAAGTCTAAAAGTAAAAGATTTTGGTGTCTACTCTCAATACACATACTGGGATGGGATTTGTGTTCAAACATCAAGAAAAGGATAAATACATTTTCACTTGATATATGGCTAGATTCAACCTTTTGTGGAAGATTATTGCCCAACAGCTCTAGGCACATCTGGATGCCATCGGATTCCTGGACTCATGTTAGTTTGGCTTTCATCTTGAATAGGGCACAGACACTGCACTTGTGGCCTTGATCAATAACCTTCACCTGGAGATTCCCAGAGGAAATTGCCCTGCTTACTTCAATAGACCTTTCAGTGGTCTTTGATTGAGCTGGATATGAGGTGCTGACAAATCATTTCCATGACCTGGTGGGTCATGTAAAATGGAGGGATGCTCTAAATTAGTTTCACTCTTTCCTAGCAGGGACGTCCCAGAGTGTAGTGTGGATGAATGCCCCTCGGGCCCTTTCCTATGGGGTCTCCCAGGGCTCCTTCTGTTCAATGTGTATGTGAGGCTGCTGGGTGAGATTGTGCAGAGATTTGGAGTAAAGTGCCATCAATGTGCTTACAACACCCATATTTACTCCTCTTACTTGAACCAGGCCTTGCAGTCTCAGTCCTTTCCCAGTGCCTGACTGCGGACAAACCAAGTGAAACTGAATTCAGACAAGACAAAGATTATGGTGATGGGCAGACTGCTCAACTTGGTGGAGGAGGAGGGCTTGCAACACCTATCACTGATGGGGTTCAGCCTCCTCCTGCCACTCAGATTTGCAGCTAGGAGGTGCTTCTGGAGCCCCTGCTGCTCCTAGTTCTTCAGGCAGTGGCAGCGGCTCGGAGTGCCTGTCACCAGTTCTATGTGGTGAGAAGGCTGCGATGCTTTCTTTTAGATCACCAAAAGCAATGCTCTTTATCAGGGCTGTGCAAAGCTTCGGTCACTGATTCGATTTGGCAGCCAAATCTCCGAATCCAAACAGAATCAGGAGACCCTTTAATTTCTCCAAATCGAATCGGAACCCTCTGAATCGATTCTGAGAGAGTCGATGATTTGGACAGAGACAGCTTTAAATGTTTTTTCTACATACCTTAAGGTACCAGGCGGCTCATGAATGCTGAGATGGTGGGGCAGATGGAGTGTCCCACAGGAGCGTGGGGGGATCCCCAGTGCGCTCGGTGACCACGTCAGCATCAAATCTTCAGATTCGGATTTGGCCAAATTGAATCGGGACAGTGATCCGAATCAACAAATTGAATCATTGTCCCCCGATTCGGGTGGAATCCGAATCCAAATCGAATACGGCCCGATTCGCACACCCCTAACTTTTTGTGGGGCTGCTCTTGGAAACCATGCGGAAGCTGCAGCTCATGCAGAATACAGCAGCCCACCTGCTGATAGGATGGGTTGCCAGGAGCACTCAACTCCAATGCTCCAGAATCTGCACTGGCTTCCAATGGTTTTCTAGGCACAATTCAAGGTGCTGATTTTAACCTGTACAGCTGTAAATGGTCTGGGCCCTACGTGCCTAAGAGACTGCCTTCTCCCTTACACTCCATCGCTATTCCTAAGGTCAGCTGAGAGCAACCTCCTGCAAGTACCATTAAGTGTCAAGTCTGCTTGGTGAAAAAACATGAGAGGCTGTTCTCTGTTGTTGCCCCTTAACCTGGAACTCCCTCCATTTTAAGGGCCGCTAGAGCCTAAACTTGGACATCTTTTGGAAGAGCTGTAAGACCTTCCAATTTGGGTAGGCATTTAGCAAACAAAGCTGGGCTGGGATACTGAGTTTCTGGTTTATGATTTCTCCTTTTTTACAAGGATTTTTCTAATTTCTAATTTTTATAACCATTTTCATTATAAGTTGTTTTCTAAATTATTGTTCTCCTGCTGTAAGCTGTCCTGAGCCTCTTTAGGGAAGGGTGATACATAAATCAAATAAATAAATAAATAAAAAATGTGGCTGCTGTCAGAGGGCAGCTTATATGGCCAGCACCAAAATGTATTTCCAGGGCAGTATTAAGGAGCTCCCAACCAAAATTAAAATGGTCCCACCACACAGCAAGGAAGGGTAGTGAGAACACCCACACACGGCCTCTGTGATTTCTAGGATTCTTCACAACCAGCAAACACATTTTAAACTTCCTTCCACTTCCAAAAGTGTTAGCTGAAATCAGTTAGGTGACATGCTTTTAAACACAAGTCTAAGCATGACATTATAATGGTCCCTCCTGTGGGGCTGTGGATTATATCTAAAGGTCTAGTGCACCTAGGCCAGGATTTTCAGCAGCTAAAAGCTCACTACACATGAGGATTTAATTTAATAGATTTATAAAGGTTCCCCCAACACCTTTTAATTAAATAGATTTATAAAGGTTCCTCCAACACCTTTTTTTGTTTTGGTAAAAAGTGTGTTGTACTTTGAGATCACACAGAACATACAATAAAGCAAAACTCCTGGGAAAGTTTAAGCAAGAAAGGAGTTATTTAGGGAGAACTTTGGGGTAACAATGAAAAGTAACAGGATTGTATTAAGCAAATTAAGTGTACAGTGCATATTAGGAAAAACTTTCTGTTTCTATTGGACTATGAAGTGTTCTTCCAGTGGAAGCAACATCATTTGGATTTACAGTCACTTAGAAAGACTGGATTAATGAAAGCTAAGCAGTATGGCTGCGTGAGAAGACACCCACATAGGTAGGGACCTGCCTAAATTGCGACAGAAGTGTGCTATGCAGCGGCTCTTTTAATCTTGCTCTTTTCACCACGTGCCCCGTCACCACTGATTGGTGGAGGGGCCCTGGCAGCCCTGCTGCTCCCCGCTCATTGACCGAGAGGCAAAGACTGCAGTTTTAAATATGCTGCAGGTTTTGCCTCCTATCACTGATTGGCTGAAGGGCTCTGGTGGCCTTGCTGCCGATCAGTTGGGAAGCAAAAAACATAGAATATTTAAAAGCACAGTCTTTGCTTCTCGGCCAATCAGCAGCAAGCAGCAGGGCCACCAGGGCTCCTTGGGCAATCAGGTTTGAGGGATGGAGTGCAGTGAAAAGAACAAGATTAAAGGAGCTGCTGCCCAGCGTACCTCTGCTGTGATTTAGGTAGGTTCCTACACATAGGAGTAGGCTCTCTTGTATGACTTTCAGTTCCTTACCATGTATGAATTGGTAAATTATAATGTACACTACAAATTCCTATGAACATGTAATATGATATAACATTTAAGGTTTAACTTTATAAAGTATATAATAAATTATGAGAGTTTCTCAATCATTTCATTTATTAGTGCACTCTGGCTCCTCTTCAGTTCATAATGTATTTCAGTTCAAAAAGTATTTATAATTCTAAAATACTTTATGGTGCAAATAGCTGCCAGTTAATGATGCAAGTTATTGAAAACTCCTGTATTTACCTTGCTGATATCAGACTCTGATTTGCTGGAACACATACTCTGAAGTTCTCGCACAAGGTCTACTTCATCATCAGAACCAAGGGACAGCCTTTGCTCCAGATCTAATACTCTTATCTGATCATTTTCTGAGGATCTATGAAAACAAAACAAGAAAAAAATAACTGAACAAGAGCCATGACAGAATCAAACAGTTATCTTTGGGGGCTTCAGTGATAGCATTCTCTTTGTACAAACACCGTACAACTGCAGTGATCTCAGCAACTTTCTGCAGTACAAATACTATCCCAGATGCAGGCTGCTGTAGCTGTCTATGTTTAATGTTGTTGCTTAATTACAGACCTTCTCCTATCCAACTTGATCTCCGATCTCCACCGTTCCAATGAAAGATGCTTCTACTAGCATGTATAACTGTCTAAATCAGTTCAATGCCAAAGCTCTCAGCTGCTCATTTTTTGGACAGAAGATATTGTTTTAGAAATGCAAAGGATTAGGTGCCTCTGCAAAGCTGTGAATATGATGGTCTCTAAGTCTCAAATCTGGACTTCAGTCTTCTATGTGGTAGCACAAAATGCAGCTCCCTTCTGCCACTTCCATTAGCTACTTAAAGAAATCCTATGTTATTTAAGCTATAATGCAAGTATTTTACATTTTTAGATCATCAATCACTAGGCTGAAATAGCCAGAGGTTCTTTTTGGTATGGCTTCAGGTGAAAAGGCAACCATCTGCCTTTTGGAAGGCCAAATATTTGGAATCTTATATACTATTACTCAGGTCTTAGACAGTTTGAACACCACATAGAAGGAACACACAATGCTGCAAGTTTTGAGCTACTGAAACAAGGCACAAAAGCCTCAAACTATTTTTCCAGAATTAGAGTGAAAAAAGCCTACAATTCTTTAGTTCTGAAACTAAAGAGGATCCAAATCCAATAAAAACTCCATTTGCTCACAAAACTGAACTGATTTGTGATACAGTTCAGCTATCTTTACTTTTTGCTAGGTACTAGAATCCAAAACCTACTTACTTTTTGTTACTATTTTGTTGTAATGTGCTCTTAGCTTTCACACCTGCAAAAGGAGGGAAGTTAAGTTATTAGTACAAAGCATAATTCTATATTGTTATTCTCATTCATTGGCTAATTATACTCTCCAGGGCTAAAAGTGCAGCATACTCTAGCCATGTCCTCTGTATCTTTTCAGAATAGCTTTAAGGTCCCACTGCATTGCTCAATTAGACAAAGGGGCCAGAGCTACCCCCTTTCTTAGGGCAAGTTTGATATAGTAGGCTTCCTTCCCCCCTTCAAGTACTGCCAAATGCCTACAAGTAACATATCTCCTGATCCATATAAACAGAAATTACTAGTCAAATGATGGGGAGAAGGAAAACAAACAACTCGTCTTTGAAATGATGAGTTTCTCCTGGTGTGGCAACTGCTCCATACCCCTGATCATTTTTGTTTCCCTTCTTTGTGACTTTTCTAATTGTCCCTTCTTTGTGACTTTTCTACTATATCCTTTTTGAGATGCAAAGACCAGAACTGCACACAGTATTTGAAATGTGGATGCACCACAGATTTGTATAATGGCACGATGATATTCTCCATTTTGAGATAGATAAAAGTGGGCATTTCTATATGTGCTATTAATTCAAAGTAGGCTTACTGCACATTACAAGTACTGCGCAAGTAAAAGTCCCAGTAAGCCTACCTAGGAGCATGTCCACATGTGCTCCCTCTTGGGAGCACATGTGCTCCCGCCCTGCTCTCCCCCCCTGCAACAGCCAGGGGGAGCTTCAGCCTCATGCTCCCTGCCAGCCACCAGTAGATTAATATAGTGTGTAGTAAAGCATCTTGTGTGGACACACCAAGTGTATGTCTAACTTGCACTTCCAACATAATTTCTTACTGTATCCTATGTCATTCTTTAGAGGTCTACCATCCACGTTCTAAATTGGTTTAATTTAAATTAGGTGGCAAAATTGAATTGATGCATAACAAGAAAGCGCATATTTGCTTTTATTCTTACTTAGAACTGGATTGCTTACATTATTGTTGTGCGCTTGTAAAACATGCACAAAATAATGATAATATAAAATTAATCTCTTTACAATACTGTTTACCTCCTTATGTACCAGAAATAAGGGGAAGGGTATTTAACCACAAGAATAAGTTTAAACCAGATACAATGTAAGCACCAGAAAAGAGAGTCAAACAGTTTTCACAAATGAATATTAAATTTCAGCTGTTTTTACTGAAAATTAAAGGAGTTACGAAAAAAATGAAGAAAATAAACAAAAACATCCCAATCTCATATCTACGAAAGAAACAGAATCTTGATATTTCCTCCTTCCCTGGAACAGAAACAACCTAATATTAGGTCAACCCCTAACACCTTTTCCAAGACTCAAAACACAACAAGCTTTACCATCTCCGTTTGTCTCCTGCTTGTTCCATGATGATGAATGGCCTGACTTCTTACGAGGACTTGTGCTCACTTTTCTCCAAGAAGCATTTTCACCCCTTTTCTTGTTACAGCTTTTGTAACTTGCAACCACAGATAAAGGGAAATTTCCTCCCTTGAAGTCTGCTTTATAATGATCCAGCTCTTGAACAAAAATACCACACATTTAAAAGTCATGTTGATAGTGCAAGGTAGCCAAAAAAGTGACAAGCAGTTAGCAAAGAAATTAATATGAATAACAGACATTTCTCATGTACATTCCATTCAATGGATACAAATGTTTTTAATTGCAACACTTCACACCACACCTGCAAGAAGCTTTTTAAAGTAGGTTTAGCATAATTATTAAACATTACTAATTCTGCTTAAGCCATTCTAATATACAAACTACTTGCTTTTCAGCTGAGAAGTATTATTAGTACCTGCTCTAGGAAGAGGACAGCCATGCAGGACAGCTTTATTTAACAAGATACTGAGCGCAGCTTTAACCACAGCCTGTTGTCCTTGGCTAGGATATTTTTTGGCTGCTGTTTCTCCCAGTGCAGATGGTCTCTTCGCAGAGGCTCTGGAGAGTATTGCTTCTTGAACTCTGGGGGCAATTACAGAATTCCATAGCTTGGACATCCACCTTTGAATAATATAAGCAAGAAAAATTTCTTTAGGACACACTGTCAAAGAAATTTTACACATATCTGACCTATTATGGGGGAGTTCCAATAGGGTACAGAGGTACATTTTGTGCCTTTGAGATATCGTTTTTATACATTACAAAATTTCACATAAGCCCGCTGCTTAAATCCATCCCTGTGTCTGTCTTTCAATCTGCATGTCTTGATCAAGCTCATAATATTGCAAGTACACTAGCTGCGAGCTACCTAATGCTTCCAATGCATAAAACAGAAAAAAAACTATGCTAAGGTAAGGCCCTTTCATAGCATATTAAAGCAAAAACAAACAAACAAACAAAAAATCCCCCAAAATACTATTCTTTAGATGATCACATTTATTTTTAAGACCAAGGACAAAAAAAGAAGCTGGCCAAGCTGATTGTGTGAACAGACAGTTCTCCTGATGTATTTGTTCTGCTCTTCAGAATCCAAGTTGTGATTAAAAAATAAATAAATCAGAACATTTCTTGGTGCAAAAAACCTGTCTCTGATAGTTTGCTGAGCTTCCTGTTCAGCCAGAGAAACTGAAACAACAGGACTGAGTTGTTAATGGAACCTAATTATAAGCATTTACGTGACAACACAGTTCGCCATCACACTGCCAATAAACAGCCAGTAAATATTAATTGCAGCTGTGTTTATTTTATGTATATTCTTGGATTAAAATACATTAAGGTGGAGTTATGTCTGAAACTACATATCAGTAAATTAAAAGACTTCAACAGGTTTGTTGTAACTACCCCAAGTGTAAGTATTATGAGTATGGTTAATGTTACACTTTTAAAGAAATCAAAATCAAGTCAAAGGTAGAAATGGCTAGGGGCTGGGATGGGGGGAGCAGGTGCATCTCACTGCACCTTTACATTGCCAAAGAGGGACTATAAATCTTACTTCACTGTCATGTGACCATAACCAGGCACCACTGGACAAGAGAAGAAGTGTTTTGGCCCTAGGACTGCTTCAGCTGCACCTAGCCGGGATAAGCAGGAGTTCAGCTGGTGCCAAACAGCAAGAATCCAGTCGATGACCTTGCACACTGGATTGTATGGAGGTGGCACTTTACCTCTGAACTAGAGAGGGGAAAAAAAGACACAGGGTTTGACATAATTTAATACTGGTATCAAGAAGGAAGAAAGGGGGACTTGTTTTTTAGTTACTTGAATACTATGAAAATCAGTTACAATTAAAAACAAAAACACCTCCTTTAACAATCTGGAAAAGTCAGAGTAAATCTGCATCAAGTGTTCTGAACACCTACTGCATTAAACCTTGTTTCCTTAAACATATAATACAATATGATTACACAAAAATAAAAGGTTCAAATAATTTGGTGGACATGTGGCTAAATTCTTTCACCTTAGTACATATATGAGGCACTTAATAGTCATGTAGCTGATATTTTTGGCACTTAATAATCACAGTTAGGGTTCAATGTAACTACATGCACCTATGTTTCCCTTCTGAGTATGGTTAGTAGGTTGCACTCAGGATGTGTAGGTACTTGGAGAGGAGAACTGTCTAAGCAAGCATGTGACACTGTGTAAGACCAGGAACAACACTCAGAAACATAATTAGTTAGTGTTTATTGCTGTTGGAGGAGAAGGATCCTCTTTAGGATTATAAACCCAATAGCCTAACTGTTAGGACACTAGGAATGGAACAGAAGATTCAGGTTTCAGGCCCCCCTCACTTAGAGAGGGCTTGAAACCGCATTTCCTGCATCTCAGTGAAGTGCTTGAACCACCAGGCCTTGCTTAAGGCATTGTCTATAGCACACTCCAGGCAGAAGGTGGCTCAGTGAGAGAATAGCATCCTGGAGAAGTGAGGGCTCCAAAGTGATGCTAGATTTGTTTATCTATTTTATCCAATACACTTAAATGCAAGTTGCAGCGACCCTGGTTTAGTGATGGAGAGAACAATGATTAATGCCTAGCCTGTGGCCTGGTGTTTGGAGCAAACTGATGTGAAACAGAAGACACAGGTTCAAACACCACCTGAGTGATTCCATCTGGACCATGGCAGGTCCCTTGGTCCTGCCCAGCCAGGTGGCAGGGGCAGCTCAGGCTGTGTCGTGAGTGGCCCCTGAGCCGCCACAGGGCATGGAGGTGATGCCTGGTGCAGCCCGCTCTATCCTGGTGTGCAAATCTCAGGCATGCTGGGAGCTGCAGTCTGGCAGGGCCAAGGGGTGAGGCAGTGGGGCAGGGGCAGTGTGGAGGTTAGACTTGGCTTCCCCACTCAAGGGCAGATGTGTACTCCATTGCTGCTGCCACCACCAGACCCCAGCCCTGCTGCCTGGGCACCTTGGGTCCATCTGCCCATCACCCATTGCTGGGGGTGCCAGATGGAGCGGGCAAGTGAGCAGAATTTCCATGGAGACTGGCCTGGGGCCCCTGTGGGCAGTGTGTGCTCGGCCTGTTGGACAGAGCAGGGCTGCATCCAGGAGTGGGACAGGTGGGTGGGGCTGGGATTATGGCATGGTAACAATGCAGGACCAGTACCACAGGCAGGGACATGGGGGGAGTGGATCATGACTCTGCCCTGAACCCCAGCCCTGCACTGTCACTGCCCCATAAGCCTGTCCCCACCCCACCCACTCGGTCCAGTGCCCCTGGCAGTGGGTGTTGGGAGGATGGATCCAGGGATGGATAGGATAAATTGGCATTTCCCTGGGGTGACCCCCCCACACCGCGCTGGGTGGTGTAAACAGCTGTGACTGTGGCCTAAGGTTGGGTCAGCTGCCACCATGCCCTCTGGCCCTCAAGAGCAGACCAAAATTCCTTAAACGACCCTCCAGTTAAAATAACTGCCCACCCCGGCACTGGAGTATGGAGCTAAGCAGCAGCAGCAGGGCTCTCATCCTCCACCAGCAGGCAGGCATGCAAGGCATCTTATTCTGCTACTGGTGAAAACAATCTAAACCATCTGAAGTGAAAATATTGCTGTTCTTTATTCATTCACTCAATTTATAGGTTGCCCTTCTCCCCAAAGACTTCATGACTACATAAGAACCTTAGGGATAGGAATTTGAAACAAGATTTAGCCCAATATTTTGCATTCAACCAAACAAACAACCCTACAGTGATGCAGAACAAACAGAGCACACCTCATGGAGGAGGTGGGAGAGTAACCCCCAAAACAAAACAGAGGGATGCAGAAGGATATAAAACAAATATATCCCTCCAAAAGAATAAATATTACCACCAGATTTCTGTAGATCAATAGCCCTGCTACAACAAGTTTGAGACTTGCATGGATTTTTGAGCAGCCAACTTTGAATAAATAAGCTGAATGAATTTGGGAAGAACAATTTCCTCTAAATTAACATTTCATGGTATCTCTGCATTTAGATTTAAAAACCTTGCACATTATTACTCTTGAGGGAATAAAAAATCTGTGAAGGTGTAAACACCTAAGAAACTTAGGTGTTAAGGTCAAATGAATGTTGTACAGCCCTGCTGGCTCTGAACAGTTTATCTTCAGAATATAAAATACATGCTAATTTTAAGATGATATGCAGTAAAACACCTAGTTCTTATGGGATCACAATCTCTTTATGTGCTAGAAAAGTAAGAATTAAAACTAAATGCCTCTGTTAATAATATAGTAAAGTATTAGCATACATGATTATCTTACAGATTCCTAAACAGGTAATTCACTCTGTTACAGGATAATTTTTTTTTGGTTTCATATTATAGACAACATTTGATTCTTGGCTCTATCAAGTGATTAGAAATTCAAAGTTCTGTAACGTAAGAACTGTAACTGTACCTACAGTTTAGGTAATCTTTCACTTTTAGATTGCTAGTTTAAATGGAACCCAAATGGCAACAGTTTTCAGTAGTGAAGGCCCCTTCCACATATTACATATTGTGAAATTAACGGGTGTGTGGGGCTCCCAGCCACAGGAACTTGCTTCTTGCCTGGGATTGGGCTCCTCCTGCACCAGCAATAAGGCACGATGGGATCTCATATGCGATCCCACAGTCGTGCCTCCTGCCATGCATGTGTGGCAACTGTGTGAATTGTGCATTAAATCTCGCTGCGCCTTTACCTGCACATGTAGAGGGGCCTAGAATTTTTCAGTCCTGCCCTAGAAGAAGTCAATTTCATAAATATCTTTATCACCAAATACAAATCTTGGAGCTGTCTAGAAAATGAAAAATAGTCACATTTTACCACATACTAGCCAAAACACTTTAAATGGGGCTGGGTAAAAATTTGCCATCAGAACTGTTTTTAATATAAAATCAAGTTTTTGACAAACAACATTTCTGAAACGTCTCTGCTTTCTGCAGAAAAAATCATTTTTTTGTTGAAAAATCAAAATCCCCTCCTAATAAAAGGTTTGACTCAAAACTAAAATATTTTAGAGGTTGGACAAAATATTTCCATCTGGGTAATCTGCTGTGGTGCTTCATGGGACCCGTAGTTCAGTTTCCTCCTGTTCTCCTTTCTGGGCCAGTCTCCTCAGTTAGGCAGGCATCTCCTGTGACAGAGCTGCCTTCCCCATTACAAGAAGTGACCATGATGAATCATGTGAAATTTAGAACAAACCGGGAATCTCAGCCTATGGAAGAGATGGGAGGCTTGAAATATTTTCAAACAGAAATATTTTATTTTTCACTGAAAAGTTAGAACCCACCTCCTTCCCCAGCCAAGTTTAGTATTGATATGATTTTAAAGGGACTGGAACCTAATGTAAACAGGGTAAGAGGTTCATATACAAGTTGATAATGCTGAGTCCTAGAAAACACCTCAGTGTCTTAAATGAAGCATCTATTTAAGTCACAATTTTGTTTTTAGTTTAAAAATAGTTTAACTATGTACAATTCTACTTTTATCAATGGCAGACCTGTGCTATTCACCTTCCTACTTGTGGCCAAGTACAAAATTTGCAGATACGTTTATCCCTTGGCTTGTTTGTAATATATTGTAAAATTGTTATTTAAGTACAGTTCTGGTGGCTGAAATTCTTGTTTTTTATGGTTAAATTTTTTAAAAGGAAAAGGAACACTTTCTGAACAATTCTCTTATGGGATTCTCTTCTTTTGGCAATAACACTATGTACATTTCATAGCATCTATACTGAACAAAATCCCCTGAAGGCCCTACCAGTTGCTCCTACCTTGTTTATAACTTTCCTTCTTAAAAATCTTTCAAGCAAGCCATGGATCGGTTCTCCATCCCATCTTAGCTGAACCCAGCGGAAATGTTGCTGAACCACCAGGTCAGAACCTTGAAGACGACACTTTGCAATTGTTCCCATTAGAAAGCAGTTCTCATGAAAATAATATGCCTCAGAAACGCCGTTTGCTAAAAATGAACCAGAAACATTTTACTGCATAAAAGTTTTGATTATTGTAATTTTACATAAATGTTAGTAACGTTGCTGTTATTACAAATACATGAAATTGGAAATAATGAACTTTAAAATTTGTCACATGCAGTTAGGAACCGCTGTTTTGGAATGATATATAAAGCCAAACTATGACATTTAGTTCTTTTAATTAATCCATCATATGGTAACTATTAAAGTAAACATTTCTCTACCCATTTTTTTAAATACCTCTTTGAACAGTGCAGGGATTTTCAGAGCCACGATTCTCAAGAGGTGCCAAAAAGTCCCCAAGTAATTCAGATAAGGATGCTTTTTCTAGGTTCTCTAAAATCACAATAGTTTTCTTGCTTATAGGAAGCTGCTTCACTGGGATCAGACAAGCTGTAATATAAAAATCCCATTAAATATCTACTTATGACGAAAACTTTTTTATTATAAATACTGCATTTAACTAACGACATTTATCTTTGTTAGTTTTTGCCTTCTGCATTTATTGAAAAAACAGAACAAGTGAATGGATTATAGAATATTTCATATTAAAAAAATAAAAAGGTATAAAGGCTATAGCTGCACCTTAACAAAAGCTTGTTCATTGTGAGTGGAGAAATGAGTATGTGATAAAGCAAAGACGCTATTTACATGCTCCAGAGTTTCACTATGTTTGCCTGGCTGAGTTCCAAAAATGTTATTGCCCAGGAAGAAATCTCTAAAACCCATCTTCAGCTATCAAATCAAATCAAAACAAAACAAAAAACCCAAGGGTAATAAACCAGATACAATAATATTTAAATCAGAGGTTGAAATTCTCAGACACCACACACAGAAAAGCTAGGTTTGGGGTCTCTCTCTCTTTTTTTTTTTTTTTTTAAGAAACTTGCCTATTTAAATCTAGTCAGTAATAACAGTAACCAGAAATTTGCCTGAAGACTCTATCACTGGAAGTCCCTCAATATGAAGATGACATTCTTCAATATATAGGCAAGTCAGTGGTGAGTCTGCAGAAGACTGAAGAAGCTGATCTGAGATCCACACACGTAAGACTGCAGATGCAGCAAAAAGTTCAGGAAGGAAGTAGATCCTGGTGATGGCAGGTCACAGTTCTTCCCTTTGTCATATATCTGCCACCATAGTGAGGCGAGTATACTCAAAATTGTCAATGCCTGGTTGCACATCACTGTGCCACTGTGGATGATTCAGTGTTCAGGTCTCCCAGGTAATGATGTTAATATTGCATTTCTTCTTTTGCCCACCTCTAGAGTGGAGCTGGTGCTGTTTCCCTGAGCCAGAACACTGGCATTTGTTCTTCTGTTCTTCCAACTGATATGGAGGATTTTCCAAAAATTACTAAAGGAAGGCTGTCTTTGTGGATAGTTGATGAAATGAACAATAAGACATAGGTTCAAATGGATGAACTCATCAAATTTCTGAAGGCTAAATTCAGGTCCCACTCAATCAGATCACTTAACTTGAGGGACCACTTTGGTCCGGCCCCTCAGGAACTTTTGTTCTTCAGGATGAGAAAAGACTGATTTGCCTTCCTTTGGCAGGTGAAAGGCCAACATTGTGGACCTTGACTGAATTCTGAGATATGCTATTCTATTTTAGCTGTAGCAGAACATCTCTCTGCCTGGAGAAGAGCAGGTTTTATTTCTATGCAGAGCAATCCAGAATCCAGGCTGCAAAATGGAAGAAGTTCAGGCATAGACTGAATATCCTCCCTATTTTTTCCCAGGAAAGCACATCTGGGAGCACTAGCAACATCTTGAGGCTCCTTAATGACAGATGAGCATGATTCAGGAATCAAATTGCTTTGGTCAGGCTGAGGTCAGGAGGATAAGCTATACATCCATGTTCCACTGCAAGCAGCACTCTCAGGATTAAAGAATCAGGCAAGTAGGCATACAACAGCCTCCCTGTTCACAGAATAAGTTTCAGTGTTAGATAAGGATTCCGCTAGGAGATCCTACACCCTTTTAACTGAGAAAGGCAAAACTCTGATCTCTGGACAAGGTGGTGTCCAAAACCACTCATTTGTAGTTTGAGGCAATGTGCTGAGAATATCTGCTGAGAGTATCTGACCTGCTTCTTTGAAGGCAAGGGAGAGGTATATCTAATGACAAATGTTCTACTGCTTTCCACAAGGAAAACCTTGCACCACCTTGTCTGCTGATATAAAACATAGCAATGGTATTGTTCATCATAAAATAGATGTGAAATCTCGAGACAACACAGAAATTATTGGGAAGCTTTGTGCTCTAAATTCCACAAACACAGATGTGCTTTTTCATCTGCTCATGTAATCCAAAGCCCGGAAACTGAAGATCACCTGTATGTACTCCCCAAACCAGCAGCAGGGCATGATTTACTATTGACATCTGGGTCTGAGGCAATGAAAGTGACACCCTTGTAAGTGCTGGCTGGATCCTTTCAGTACATCAGAGAAGAATGGAATAGAAAGGGAACTGCGACCATTGGCTGCCTATACATGTGCTCGCTGGCATTCTAATTAGAAAGAGTTGGAGCAGACTTGATTTATTGAGTCTGCTCCGTATTCCAATTAAAATACTCCAGAGTCACAGCAACATCACGTGTAACAAGGCCCCATGTGTTTTAAAATGGCTGTGGAGTGCTTGATCTAAACCTCATCGAATGAGGTTTAGATAAAGTGTCCCACGGCCATTTTTAAACATGCAGGGGCTTAATATGTGCAACAATGAGGCATTTTAATTAGAGCGGTTGTCCGGAAACTGCTCTAATTGAAACGCTTCCCCTTCCCCACCAAACACACATATAGGCAGCCATTGTGTCTAGGGCAGACATTTACTTTAATTTTAATTTACATTTACTTTAATTTACATTTACTTTAATTAGCCCGTGTGTAGCTGAAGCGTATCCTGGCTTAGAGTATCATGCAGATGCACGAAGCCATGTGAACCAGGAGAAATAAGCAGGTTTTGTCTCTTACTGATGGATGAATTTCAGTCTGAACTATTATTTCAGTCAAGATCTGGAATCGCTCCAGGGGAAGGTAAATGATGGCTGGTAAGAGTACAGGGTAATCTCTTTAAATGTCAGACTCTGTACTGAGAACAAGTTCAGCTTTGGAGGGTTTGTCCTGAGCTCCTGGGTGTGAAACAGGTACAAAACATACAATCTCTTCTGTTACCTACTGGAAGATTTGTCCTTCATTAGCCAGGTGTCCAAGTACCGCAGTGTTTATACACAGGTAGACCACCACCACTGCAAGGACATTAGTGAAAAACCCTGAGGTTGCTGAAAATCCAGCAAGTCACAAACTGGTAACGATCTGTGCTGATCATGAACCACAAATATTCTGTGATGAAGGCACAAAAGCAACGTGGAAATATTTAACCTAAAAGGTGACAGATATAAAGCAGTAGTCTGATTCAAGGGAGGGGATTATGGAAAGCAGCATTGCTGCTAAAAAATTCCAGTGGACTAACATAGTAGATAGTAAACAAAACTTCAGAACGAGTTAGAGTTACACTCTGGCTAATGATACTTTGGGTTTTCTTTAATACAGGTTATTTGACTACTCTTTTTATAGTGCCTTTGTAGTTCCAGAAACATACTACTTATGATTCTATATATTCAACTTTTTAATGAAAGTTCTAAATTAGATTCTGTTGCTTGGGAAAGATGCTAATAGTGTCTGGAAGAAGGTGAAGTTCTGTACTCATGGAACAATGAAGCAAGGATGGACCTTTTATCTGGTTCAACAGGCCTGAACTCGGGAATCAATTTGCTTAGTACAACAGAAAGGGGATAGAGGAAATTAAGAACTCTTTAACAGAACTCACATCAAGTTTACACAAACCTTTACACAAAGCATGGAAATGTCACCTTTAGTATTAGCTTACACAAGCGACTTGTCTTTTATCTCCAGTTTCTGAAAAGTTCAGAATTCTATTAGTTTGCCCTAGTCTATGCAAAACATGTTAATGTGCTTCTTTTGTATGCATTATTAAAACTTTGTCTTCTAGATATTAAAACTAGATTTTCTGAAATAATCTTACCGCTATTAATGAATATTTCTGCAAGCTGCTCCTTAGAGAAATCAGCATCCACATCAACTTTAACTATTTCACAGGTGAATCCTGCAGCCGCTTGTTTTTGCTGTATTGAAAATTCACAGGTTTAGTGAAGCTTTACATGCTCTCAATTCCAGACTATTTTTTGGGAGGGTATCTTGTCTCAATACCTTCATGCAGAGTGCTATCTGATATGCTATATAGTCTTGTAAACTTCCTTCTGGACCATGAAAGATGACATTATGGTATTGTTCAACCTGTAGGTGAAAGTAAATATAACATGAATGTTTGCAGGCTGGGATATCTTACAACCAAACAAAAATAATCAAAACCTAAATGGAGGTTGGAATTTTTTATTTCATATTATTGGAACCAATATGCCTTACTATTCAATGCTTTTAAATGTTAAGTATTGGTATGCTGCTGCTTTAAAGACAAATCTATGTTTCAAGAAATTAAATGGAAGTTTTCTTAATTTATAAAAACTACGTAAAAAAAATTGTTTCACTACTGGTTAAACTTGATGAACAAGGGTACACTAGGTAGAGATAACATAATCAAATCCTATACCAAAAAAGATCAAGTTGGGACTGGATAATCCACAACAGGTATTTCAATGAGAAGACTAACCTGACAGGTAAAGCATTACAATTTAGCTACTAGAATCTCAAGTCAGTTGTTCATATGCTATAACTAACTTCCTGTTAGAGTCCAGCTATTTGTCCACATGTCTAATTCCCTTCCCTTTTTTTTTTTTTTTTTGTTTTTTTTTACTTAAACAGGTTTTAACCTTTAACTGAATGACAAAGCCATCTCTAATTGATATTCATAATATATCATATAGTTTTCTGGCAAATTAAAACTCATTTAGAATCAAAGCTGCTTGTGGATCTCAACTCTGTAAAATCAGGTGACTCCAAAATTTCAGCACTGATGTACAATTGATTTTAAGAAAGCATACAAACTATTTATTGTTACCACAATGCTAAAAGCAACTGACATCTATAGCAGTTTCTGCTAATCGTATAGAATACCAGCAGAGGGCTCCAGAGATAAAATTTCACTTATGTATTAATTAGTTTTGAATTGGCTCCATCACTACTAAAGCAATGACAACCAAAATTTAACTTAAATTATCCACATTTTCTTTTTCATTCAGTTTTCACACCGCCAACAGCTTACATTGTTCAAAGAATATGAACTGTATAAACAAATTGTTGTTAAATAAGAGTGAGAAATGGTTTATCAAATACTTTATGAATGAACTGGAGATCAAAATTTAGTTTAATCTTTAAAGCTGTCAATATGTCACACTTTTATAATACTTTAATACTTGCTTCAGTCAATCAATCAGTAGCTAGTAAAAACATGAAAATTAGCAATCTCATTTCTAATCTAGTAAACTATTTTTTTTTAGACAAAGCAAGGGGCTAAAAGTTAAAACGTTTTGAAAAAAATGACTTTAAAAAGTTATTTTACATTTAGATATTATTGTTCTGACAGCACACATTAAAAAACCCTTAAAATTGTTTAAAGTAAAATACTTTAACACGCTTCATAAAACTAAAAAAGGCAAAGCAGTAGTGTCAATCCTGAGGAAATTAAAGGACTATGAAAAAATGTCAGCAGGCCAATTTTAGGTTTCCAATGTCCAGAGACTGAGTTAAGTGTTTTTAATGAAATACTGACCACAACACAGACTTTATTAAACCTGTGAAAGATTGAGTAATCTAGTTCAGTTTTATACTTTTCAGCCAAATATTCATTTAATCTCATTTAAAAAGTTCAGGCATCCTACTTCATGGTAATATTTATTTCTAGTTATAAGTACTTCAACTAAACAAAGCAATTATGATACAAAACAAAATATCAACATTTCCTCCTTAATATTAAGAAGAAACATATACTGGACACAGAATGTCTGTACTTTATTGTTAATGTATAATGTAACAGATAAAATCATACTATGTCTATAGCATGAACAGGAACCTGGTGGTGGTCAGGTGGGAAAGACAAGGTTACTAACATAAGGAGTTCACTATTTAACAAATAAAATATAAATAAAAGATGGAGTATTAAATGCAGCGCAATGTTTACTACTAACGAATATGAGAAATGTTTATACTTGAAATTCCTTGATTTTTTTGTGTGGATTTTTTATATTCTTTATGACAAAGTTGATCCTTCATTAAAGGAACCTTTTGGAGGAATGGTGCAAAAATCGAGGACTGCATACTCTGTTGAAGGAGAAGTCCAAATTTATGTAAAAAAATCTGCCAAATGCTATTTTGACAAAAAACAAAGAACTTTTTCACAAAATCATATAATAAAGTTTTGTTTAGATATATATTTGCAGAAGCAGTCTCTGTAATGTCAGTGCTTCATTTCAACATTTTCAGAACAAAGTTATTTATTCTATTAAACCCCCCCAAAACAAGCAATGACAAAAATCAAAATAGAAATGAAACATCTCAACCGACCCTAAGTTATTTTTCTCAGAATTCCTCTTTGAAAATTTTTCTAAAGATCTGGCTAATGCAAGAGTTTTGTGAAATCCTGTACATTTTTGCAGGTTGAAGAAATCCATCTCCACCCAACTTTATAACAGAGAAGGTTTCCCAAATCCATGAGAGATGAAAGCAAACAAACAAGAGTTAGTTTGTACCTACCAGCCTGAGATAATTCTGCAGTGTCTGAAGATGGATCATAGATGCATAAGTCACACTATTTAGGCAGCCTTCTTGAGGACCTTTAAAAAATGCATTAGATAACATTTGTAATCCTCATTATTTGCAAAAATAATGGTGTAATTACACGAAAATAGTATTTGCTAGCCAGATGCAGTGACATCTTGAAGACCATGAAACAGAAATCTGATACATGGAACAGAATAACTGGCATAATGCAAACATTTTTAAGGGACTCCAGCAGAGTGGAACAGACCACAGCCTTAAAACAATATAAACAAGGTCAATTCAAGAGTGAAATTGAGGCACTAAGCGTCATTTTCCTCAAAATAATGGTAACCTCGACAATAAGAGTTCCTAAATGCTACCTCAGGCAGACAAGGTCCTCTGAGTAGATGTGATATCTTTTATTAGACCCACTGAGTAGTTGGAAAGAAGTTCTTAGCAAGCTTTCGGGCGCAGTTGCCTTTCTTCAGGCGTAGGGAGTCTCTGCTGGTCTGAGACTCCAAGGAATGAGAGAAGCTGAAAGTGTAACAGGATGTCAGTGAAAATATAAATAGGTAGAAACAGGATATTTTCACTGACATCCTGTCACACTTTTAGTTTCTCTCATTCCTGTTTTCCTGATCTCCAACTATTTCCTTTTTCACAGACAATCTCTTTTCGACCTTGTACTCGTATTCTATCACTGTAATGTCTCCCGTTAACATTTTTTCTTCTCCCCTGCTTTCTCCCCGCCCCCTTCCCTGCTTTACCTTTTGTCTTTCTAATTTCTCCCTAACTGCATTCTCACTGACATCCTGTCACACTTTTAGCTTCTCTCATTCCTTGGAGGCTCTGACCAGCAGAGACTCCGCCATGCCTGAAGAAGAGTGACTGCGCCCAAAAGCTTGCTAAGAACTTTTTTCCAACTACTCAGTTGGAAGATATCACATCTACTCAAAGAACCTTGCCTGCCTATGTCCTTAGACCAACATGGCTACAACCAAAAACCCAGCTAAATGCTACCTCTTTTTTTAATGTTCTAGATGCAGTCCTTATTTTTACCGAATTAACTAATATATGACTAGCTTCATCTGACAGTTAAGAAGAGAATTCTTTTTATTCTTTAGTATGATAAAGGAACAAAGAATTCACAACATCTACAATGAATATTAAAATATTCCATAACAAAATAACTGTAAATGCCTTTACCAAACAAAAATACAGTTATGTTTTCAGCTGTGTTGCTCTTCAAAAACTCCCATGGTGGCTGGGGAAAAATCTGACCCGGTGACCATGAAACATTTCCTGTAAGAAAGAAAGAAGGCACATAAACATTGTATCTATATAGAGCCTTTCCCACCCACACCATACCTTCCTGCATACATTGGGTATGTACATGTACTCTTTTGACAAACAAATAAGATCTAGGTAGAAATTTCTTACAAATTATTAAAAATACAGTTTTCAATACTGGAACACTGTGGTATGCAGATTAATACAATACAATATACTGCTTTTTAATGAACAGTGCCCATATTAAATTAAATTATGCAATGTCAACATTGAAATAAAACCAGGCTAACCGAGTCCATCCAAGAATATATATTAGACTGCTTTCAAATGCAAAGACTGATTTTCCATACTGCACCTTGTATGTCACAGCAAAATAAACATACAATGATAGCATTCTAATTTGTATTTACTCTTTGTGTAAAATTATATCAGATCAGAATAGGAGCATCTTAAAAATGCTTACCACTAATAACTACATACGCAAAGGCAAAAGATAATGCTAATCAGGCTGTAAAAGATCCCTGAATTTTTTTTTTTGTTTGGTTATTTTGGAGTGGCTGTGTAGTGGACAGCCTTGTACTACACCAGGGGTGGGCAAAATACAACCCACGGGACAGATCCGGCCTGCCAAGCACTTTCATCCGGCCCATGGTGCCCACCAATAAATTGTGCCTTGCCCAGCCATTCTGCCCATAAGGGTAGGAGCAAGGTGCCCATGTGTATATACAACTCCAAACGTACCTGTAACAGGGAACCCTAGCCCTGTTACTAAGAGAGAGAATGGTCCCTTTAAATCCAGAACCTTCCAGTCACGGCCAAACGGTCAAGGGTTAAGGCTCAAGCCCTGCCAGCCGGTTAGGTGACAGGAAGAGGAAGGCCAGAATCCTACAAATGGCAAGTGGAGAAGGCCAGGAGGGCAGCAGAGGGGTGGACTCCCGATGACTGTGGTGATGCAAATGCAGTCTGCTGGAAGAATACGCTACTTTGTGAGCCAGATGCATGACCCCTCTAAAGTAAGCAGGCATGTTGCCTATCTTATTTCTTTATTATCCTTTTTCCATTTTATGGCCATAGAAGTCTATGTTTTGCGTTGGATGCTAATATCTAGAGGATTGGGCTGAGGCTATTTGGAGAGGAGGAGGCCTCATTTGGGGACCCACTTCAGTGTGGGGACCCCAGCACCAGAGAGGGTGCAGTATTCGGGGGTGAGTGGACCCCAGTGCCAGAGAGAGTGCAGCGTTCAGGGGTGAGTGGACCCCAGTGCCAGAGGGGGTGCAATACTTGGGGGTGAACAGACCTCAGCGCCAGAGAGGGTGCTGGAGCCCAAGTGAGTCTTTGAGAGCTAGAGCCTTGGAGTCAAGCCCTGATTAGTGGGTTTCTGACTGACAGGTCTAGCTAGAGAGAGAAGGGGTAAGCCCACAGCGGCTGAAACCCCAACATAGAGAGGAATTTATAAATACTATCTGCGAGGCTTGGGCTGCAGTGTAGGGGAGGAAGGGAGCCACAGATAGTGCCCCTGACATCGGGGCAAGAAATGGGCAGCCTCATACTTAATTAACAACTATTAATTAATTATCATCAAGGCATGGCAGGCAAGAAGGTGGGCAGTTGGCCCATAAACGGGTGGGCCGGTCAAAGGCAAAATTGGCCCTGGGAAGCCCCCCTGTTACAGTACCCAACTGCTTCGCTCCCACCCTTGTGGGCAGAAGGGACCGATTAGCTGGTTTGTAGCTTCCGCGTGGGGCTGCTGCCACAGCCCAAGGGGCCTGCTCTGCTTCCCTTGTCTGCTGGCTCCAGGCAGCAGGGAGGGAAGCAGCAGGGCAGGAACATGGGGCTGGTGGCAGCGTGGAGTCTGTGCGCCAGGGAGTGGAGGCAGTGTGAAGCTGGGGTGGGCAGCATTTGAGTGTGAGTGAGGGTGGGGGGTGTGGGAACCATCCTTCACACTCCCTCCTTACTCCCCCCATGTTGTGCAGCCCCAGCAGGCTGTGGCAGCAGCAGCAGCAGGCAAGGTGTGGCTCCGGCCAGCGCTGCACATTGCAGCAAGGAGCGCATCCTCCGCTGGGCTGCCTGTATTGCTGGTACTTCCTCTTACTTAGGAATAGCCACCGCACTCGCACAGCATAGGAGGGAAGCCCCAGGTGCTGGAGCCAGGTGCCTTCCCTGCTGGGGCTGTGCAACACAGGAGAGAAGCCCCAGTTGCTGGAGCCAGCTGCCTTCTCAGCGGGGGCTGAGCTGCGGGGGGAGGGAAGCCCCAGGCACCTTCCCCTGGGGAGCTGGGAAGGGAGTGAGTTCCACTGCCTGGCACTTCTCTCCGGTGCTGTGCAGCCCCGGCCGGAAAGGCAGCTGGCTTCAGCACATGGGGCTTCTCTCCTGTGTTGTGCGAGAGCAGGGGCTACATGTGAGAGGCAGGGCATGCTGGTGATACAGGGAATGATATAGGAGGATGCATCCCTCACTGCGATGTGCAGCGCTGGCTGGAGCCGTGCCGCATCAGGCACCTGCGCCCTGAGCGCTTGCCTGCTGCTGCTGCCATGGGGAGAGTGGGGGGGGGGGGTGTCCCCACACCCCCCTACCCTCCGTCCCTCACAAACCCACACCCTTCCCCCACAACCCCCCAAAATACCCTATACCTTCCCCTCACAACTGTCCCCACACCCTCCCACATCCTACCACATGCATCCCCCACATCCACCATATATGCACACACATTCCACCAAGTGCACCCACACCCCACCATACCCAACACGATATACAACACAAAGAATTTATTCTTGAGACATTATGCAATCACCCCTAGGTATACAACACAAACATAAATCATGACAAAAATATTTTTTGTAATAAAATTAAAATATGTTATAGTACTTTCAGTGTATGAATTGTATTTTTTCTGGTTCTAAGATGGCAGCCACCCCCTCCCAAAAGGAGTATTTCCAGGGGGCAAGAGGAGAGACTTCTGGTGGCAAAGGTTGGGAGTTAGAGGGTGGGACTTCTGGTCCCCAGATGAGGACAAGGGGGCAGGGCAACTGTCAAGGGGCAGGGCTACCCATGTGTCCCTCTACAATGCACCAAAACTCATTAAGCAGCCCTCCACCCTAAATAACTGCCTGCCCCTGTAATATACCATGTGTATAACCACCACTAAAGGATACGTTCAAGCAGGTGGTGTTTTAAAGTATCGCAGCGTATCAAGAAACCTCATCAAATATTTTTATCCTATTCTTCTCTAAGGGAATAAAGGCATCGTTACATTACAAGTTCAGTAGGTAAAAATACAGCTATGATAAGACTGATTAAGCCCAGAAGCTGCCCCATGTACTCTAGGATATACATAGCTGAGGAATTAAACATGTCACGCAATGCACAAAAGCAAAAACCAAAAATCTTGGTTCTCTTGACAGTAATAGGAACAATACCTAGTTTGACGGATAACATACTGCTTGCATTGAGGCCAATGTTTGATTCTGTAGCATTATTAAATGTCAGGTCTTCCAGGCTCCTCCATCCATCAGATGCGATTGCTTGGAAATGGTTTGTCACTGCCTGACTCACTTCTTTTGAAAAATCATCCCATGATGTTTGTTTGCGGATATTTAAAGCACATATTGTATTTTCCATGTCAAAATCCCCTGTACCACAGTAGGCTGGTTCAACATCATTGACTGAAATCCTTAAAGGTATATTAAGAGCATCTGTTAAAAACAATTAGAGAACTGAAGATGGCAAGATCTGCAAATTCAATAAACAAATTATTTACAGATAAGATTGATGATAATTGGCATTTCTGCCTCTGCCCTACACAGAACAGTAGTATTACAAGCACTACTATTTGAGAGGGAATACAATGGCAGAGCACTGTCCACTACCACAAAACAATTGAGTGACAAAACCAAGACTAAACTATATATTATTACTGTATTTACTCGAATCCAAGACAAGGATTTTTTCCTCCATTTAACTTGGTGAAAAAGCCCCTCATTTTGTATTTGAGTACAGGATGCTGGGGGCACAGGCAGCTGCTCCCTCCCAGCTATCCCCTGTTCAGTCTCTGCCCCCTTCATCCCCAGCTAATTACCTTTGCTCTGGTAGACATTGTCCCTGCTCCAGCGTGGGGCGCAGAGCATGGCTCAAGTCCAGCTTAACAGTAGCTCTGGTTAAAACCCAGAGGTGAGGGTGCAGCTGCTACCAAGTCTGGCTGGGGCCAGAGCAAGCATATTCTCTGTGCCCCGGCAGGAGAAGGGATGGTGCCTGCTAGAGCTGGAACAGAGGTAAGAAGCGGGGTGGCAGGGGTGTGTGGAAGGGAAGAGGCTGTGGGGGAGGAGGTGGAGACAGCAGGGGGCAAGGGAGAGGGGTCAAGTTGCCTGAACCCCTCATGACCTGTCTCCCCCACTGCCTGCCACTGTTTTCTTTAGTGCAATGGTGAGGCAGATGAAGTTAAGAGGCCCCTCCAATAATTAAATTCTATATACAGAAAATTATAACAAATGTATAAATTTTCAAATGCAATGAATCTAATAATTGGGGAAAGGTCCATTTTAAATTCAAGGTCATCTTGGATTCAGGGAAATACAATATATGACATATTGGGTGCGTCTGCCAGAGATGCTTTACTGTGCAGTAGCATAGTTTACGTGCACACGCTTACCGTGCAGTAAACCTTGCTAATCGTGAGTAAATTTTCTACCTGCAAATGCAAGTAGCAAATTTATTTGCGATTACTTACTGTGCAATACCACTAGTGTAGATGTCTGACAGGGAGCATCTGCTCATGGTCAGCCGGTCATCAGTGGGTGGGAGATTGCTCCCTGCCCTGACAAGCTGCCTGCGGCTGGGCCAGGCTCTGGCACTGGAGCCTGGGCATGGACTATGACCTCCTGCCCTGGCAGCAGGGAGCTCCAAGCCCCCTGATCCAAGATTGTGATCCAGAAGTGGGGGCTGGGAGATCCTTATCTCCCAGCGCCAGCTCCGTGACCACAGGGCCAGCGCTGGTAGCTCCTTGCTTGTGGAGGCTGGGGATCCAGTTCCTTGCCCAGCTTCATGATCACAGAACTGGGTGGGGAACAGGCTGGGAATCACAGAGCTGAACAGGGAACAGGGTCTCTAGCCCCTGTCCTGCGATTGCAGGTGGGGGCTGGGAATGGTCATGGTCAGAGGCAGGTCTCAGCCCTGTGCCCTTATTTGATCAAGGCACAGGGCCTGGAAAGGGTTGCAGGGGTTGGGAAGGTCCCAGCCCCCTACCCCAATCTGCTGGTGGGTCAGCTAGCATTGAGCTAGCTTCTATGTGCCCCACTGGTGGATCAGGGCAGGGAACTGGGACCTGCCCCTCCCTTACAGCTCTTTCGAAGTCCCCTGCCCCTGACTGGAGAGCCAGGACCAGGAGCTCCCTGCTGCTGGTGCAGAGGGACACTGTCTCCACCTCTAGAGCAGGCATCCCCTGGCAGCAATGTCAAGCCCCAGCCAGGGCTTTCAATGTCCCAGCCCCAGCCAGGTCTCCTGGCCTGGTGCTCCCTGGAGCCTAGAGCTCCCCCTGGTGGCAGCAGGGACCTATTGCAGGGCCTCAGGAAGTGGAAGCAGTCTGCTGCCATTAGCAGCAAATCTGCTCCTGCTTCCCTGCACTCGTGAGTAAACTGCTCCCACATAAAGTGCACATGTAGACACACCCATTCAGTATCATTCCATTTATTTTATGAGTTGTAAAAATACTCCTATACTACTCAAACAAGACTTAATCTTTTATCTCCTATTTCCAGAACAAATTCTTATAAATGTAATCAAATGAGCGGTGGTTTCTTAAATGTTTCATTTTCCAATGTGAAGGATCTTCTTGTTTGCAGCTGCACATAATTTCATTGCAGAAAAGTACATATTAGCTAAAGAAGTAAAGTGGAAGGGGAGGCTAGTGATATTTTTGATGAGAAATGGTTGTATTCTTGGAGAGAGGAATAGAAGAAAAATCTGTTTGATAATAAAAGTTAAGTGTGCAAAGTTAATAGATTTTCCCCTACTTTTTACGGTGAATAAAAGTAAAACAAGGGAAGGAAGTTTACATACATAGCATAGCAGATTCTTTGTCTTGCTGTAGTCTTATAAGCGGGGCTTAATTCTACAGCAGTAGCAGACTAAGATCTGTTCATACCGTGAGGCTCATTAAAGATCTCTAAGATTGAAAGCCTGCTCTCTTTCATATTTACCACAAAAGCAGTATTTCATAAAATAACTCTGAAATGCTGAAATGTGGTTGCAAAAAAGATACAAGCTTGTCTTGGATACTTTCACTATAGCAGAGCTTGTCACATTATTTTTAAACACTGAAGGGCCAGATCTTCAGCTGGTATAAACCAGTGTAACTCCAGCAAGTTCAGAGATGTTTTGGTTTAAATCTGTCAGACCACATCAGGGAAAAGACTATTCAAACACATGCTTCAAAAGTGGAACATGTATTAAAGGCATGGCCTTCTGATGAGTTCCAGGCATCTAAAATGAGGTAAGAGGGTTCTGACATGATTCAGGAATGATGGGGAGATCAAAAGACCTATGTAGATGTGGGGCAAGGGCTTATGAGAACAGAGGCTTTGGTGCAAGCTAACAGTTTATGGGCTCTGATAGGAAAATTCTTGTTGGAAAAAGCCAGACAGAGATGAGGATCAGGGAGCAAAAGCTCAATAATTTAAGACAGAATGCTGTTTACATGGAAGCATGATGTTATCCAGTGGGAAAAAAAGCACAAGAACCTAAACGCTGCAAGCCAGCTCATCAGTGTATATCATAATTAGCAAAAGAACACCAGGAAATGGTGAAGGATAAAAAAGATTAATTCATCAATACTTAGTGAATTTGAAGGGGAGCTGGATTATCTATGGGCCTATGGATTACCTATTACCCATAGGTCCAGGGCAGAAAACAAGTGAACGGGTCTATAGAGTACAATGGAGGTACTGTGCCTTAGTAAGAGTATTTATTGTACAGTCAAAGGGCCCAGGACCAGCCAATTCTGTACAGTTACCAGACCCAGCTGGGAAGCAGTCAGGTATAATTTATTAGGAGTTGAAAGGTAGCAAGATGACAACAGGGGTCTTATAGAACAGCTTCTCAACCCAAGGCTCACAAGAACATATGAAAGGATCATAAATAAACTTTAAAAATGGATTCTTCTTTAAAGGAGAAAAACGTGGGAAACCGTGGCTTTTCCTTTGCAGGCTGGTAGAATTCCAGCCTGCAAGGGGCTGCTTAGGCCCCCCCACCCCACACCTCATATGCATACTCCCTGCCCCACATGCTGGGGAGCTGGGGGACAGTGGGTTGGGACTGGTCATCCATGTTTACAAATGGGTCCTGGTACAAAAGAGGTTGAGAACCGCTGTTATAGAAGACCTTGAAGTTGGGAGACTATAAAAAGGTAGTCTCTGATATTTTGTTTAAACTTTATGTAAAAGAATAATATTGTTCCAAAGATGATCTGGATGTAGGAAAAGTTATTCATAGGCTGTGGAAAAAAGGGATTTTGTACCAAGAATCTGAAGAAAGGAGGTAAAGAATGAAAGAACTAACATGTAAAACTGCCAATGGGAAAAAAATATTTAATACTAAATGTACAAATTCCAAAGCATTACGTTTGTTTCTAGGCTTGTGCAACACATTTTTCAAGGGAATAACATTTTATAGAATTACTAAAAACAGAATAGAAATTATCTAATAGTTCACAATAAGATAGTTTTTGACATTTATTATAAACAAATTGGAGTAGTTTGCCTGCACACTTAAAAACAAACAAACAAACAAAAAAGGCTTTTTGGAGGAAAAAACATGACCAGGTTAAGATGAGAGGTAACAGTGCATTAATGTTTCTTTAGTTTGGCAGGGCCCTGGGTAGTAAATATTTTGATATAGTGATGTTTGCAAATTCTTACTTACTCAAATTCTCTAGGAGATGTTTACAGTCATCAGTAGCAACATCATGCAGTGTTCGATTACACTTATCTTTCCTTTCACTCTCTAGTCCACCATGGCTACACAAGATTTCTAGGCAATTCTGAAAAGAAAAGAGCTGTATTACTTGTATATCTATTTAACGGCTGAAAGAGATAGATATCTAATCAGTTGTTAGATTTCTGATTTTAATTCCTGGATGTGCATTTTTAAATATGCAGAGAATGGAACTAGTAGGTGTGAGAAAGCAAACAATATTTCTTGTAGGCCTATAGTAAAGATTGCAACGTATTTTATCATAGACTTGAATTTTCACACTGAAATTTTCCAAACAGTGTGCTTCCAGCCAGGATTCTAGATTTCAGGATACACAGAATCAGAGAATTAGAAAATAAGGGTTGGAAGGGACCTCAGGAGGTCATCTAGTCCAACCCGCTGCTCAAAACAGGACCCTCCCCAGCTAGATCATCCGAGCCAAAGCTTTGTCTAGCTGGGTCTTAAAAACCTCCAAAGGACAGAGATTCTATCACCTCTCTGGGTAACCTGTTCCAGTCTTTTACTACTCTCCTAGTGAGGGTCCTTCCTTTCCTCACGATTCTGAAGTCCATCATCTTGTGGTCACTGCTGGCCAAGTTGCCATCCACAGATCAACTTTTATTAGTAGATGTTTAGGATTGTGAATCCAAAAAAGATGACAAAGCCGGTAGGGAAATGCAGATCGCCCGAGCGAGGGACTAACAATAGAAGGATGGTGGTGAGGAGGGGAACACAACTAGGTTACAGGAGATGCAATGTTAGCCAACTAAGCCCGGGTACTACATTTCCCATCAATTCTTTCCTGTGCGCAGCAAGTCAAGAAGAGCATGGCCTCTAGTTGGCAGTACTCAGCAACTTCTAAAAATCTTGCCAGATTTATCAACTTGCACACTTTTGTCTGGTACTCTGCTTCCCTGCAGAGTATTCTATGATGATGATTATTATTGCATTATATTAAAATGGCAATTTGAGACCTAGGAATCACTAATATCAAAGTTACTCAGATCTACGAAACCAGTGTTCACTCAGCAATACACAAAGTATTAGTGAAAGTACAAGTTTCCATCCTGCTTGATAAGTGAATGTTAGAAATAAGTCAACCAAGATTATTCTAAAATCATCAGACACACTTGTTTTCTTAACAGACAAATCCGATGTTCCTGAAGAACAGCAGCACTGCTATGAAATCCCAATTTGCAATATCTTCAGAATAAGTGCATTCAGCTATTTCCCTAATGAAATACTGCCAACAATAGACATCAAGTCCCCTTTAAAGTTTGTAGATTGAGAAACTATTGAGAAACCAAGTGAAATATTTATAGTAAAATGACTTTATATTGTAAAAAAAAAACAAACAGATTTACAAGCCGGATACAAAAACATTCATGTGCAAGCAAACTGCATGCAGAAAAACCCTCAGTGCTATAATCACATCATTAGAATAGTGTATCAAACATATATTTCACACACATGTTTATATAGTTACTTCTCCAACTTGCAGAAAAAGTAAGAGGCACAAAACTAGAATTCAACCATTTTATCTGAGACATTTAAATGGGTCGTTTTACTGAATTCAACTGTGTAGTGTGCCCTGGGCTCAGTGCTGATAGCACGTATGTACCATAGCCTGAGCAGGACTACCAGATTAGGCTTCTCTGGCAACGCAGGTATAGTGTAGGTTCTACTCTGGATTAAACTTCATCTTTGGTACAAGCTAGGCACCTAAGGCATTTATACATGTACCTTTTTGTCCTGCGACACGCTGGAGATCTGCCAATTAATCAAGTTTGCTCTGCACACGAGCTGATGTGTACTGTGCTGCGCTGTGTGAAGTTGTATAAGTGGCGAAATGTGCATCAGTGTGAAGAAAATAGCAGTGGTGCACTATTGAACTAGAGCATGAAAACCTCGGAGGTACTTTAATTCAAAAGCACACCACCGCCATTTTCTGCGTGCTGATATGCATTTTGCCACTTACACAACTGCACACTTTTCAAAGTACCCAGTGCTGCAGCGCTTCCATGTGTAAAAAAGCCCCTACGTGCTCAGGCCTGAATATCTCCACCATGTATAGAAGCCTAAATTTAACAATGTAGGGGATTTTGTGGCCAGAACCTTGACACTAAGGCTAGGGACAGAAGTTACATATACACCAGATTAAGTGATTGCAAACTGGTTTAAGCCTGTAACAGAATAGAAGTTCAGTGCAAACCACTTTCAAAATGGCCAAAACCAATTTAAGATGAACCTTGTTGGCTGTAGTACAAGACTTAATTGATTTAGGTTAAACTGATTTAAGGAAATTCTTTTCCACATCCCTTCCTGACACAAGTTAACTCTCAGTCCCCCAGCATCCCAGCACCATACTGTCTGCTCTAGCAGAGCAGGGTTGGCCCTGCCCCCAGCTGTCACAGAGCTGAGGCACTAAAGCCTCTGCTCCCCAGTCTGCTTTCTTTCTGGGCCTGGAAGGAGTCAGAGGAGCAGACCCCTAGGCTGCCCTAGCCCTAGGCTGTTACAGCAAAGGGAAGAAGAGCTGCTATGGTGAGGGCTTATTGTTTTCCCACTTGTAGCCCATCAAGCTGGGCTGGGATTGGCCAGCCCCACTTTCTTCCCAGCCTCTGCCTCCTTGAGTGGGGGAATGCACCTCTCCCTGTTCCTGCCTGGCACTCGTTTCCCCAGCCAGGGTCTATGGTGGTGGTGGTGGGGGGGTGGGTATGCAAAAAAGGTGGGAAGCCCCCACTGGGGAGCTTTTTGCCTCCCCCCCGCAGCTCCAAGCAAGGCTGGGATTAGCTCAGCTCCACCCCCTCCTCAGTCATCCACCTCCAAGAGGCAGGGTGGAAAACACACAACCCCAGCCAAGTTTTATCCAGTATGGAGCTGGGTGGGGATGGTAGAAAAGCACCCACCAAGGTGCTTTTCACCTCCCTCCCCCCACAGCTCAACCTGGGCTGGGATTGCTACAGATCTACCACTTCCATAGCTGTCTGCCTCAGAGAAAGGTGGGCAGGGGGGAATAAACCCCTCCCCAGCCCAGCACTCACTCCCCCCCACCCCAGCTGGGGTCTGCCTGGCACGAGGAGAAAGCACCCACTGGAGGGCTTTTCGCCTCTCTGAAGCTTGGAGTCAGGCTGGGATTGAGCTGCAGGGAGACAAAAGTCCCCCTGGTGGTATGTGGCAGGCTGGAAGAAGGAGTGTGTTCCCCATGCCCCTTTCGGAAGCAAAGAGCTGGAGAAGGAGCAGAGCTGGGGTGATTCCAGCCTGGTTTGAGCTACAGGAAGCAGAAAGCCCCCCCAATGGGAGTTTCCCTTCCCCCCGCCCCCCTATGCTGGGCAGACCTCTAGTCACTTTTAAAATCTTGAACAGTACTGTGTAAATATTTCCCCCAACATTTCCTCCCGGCACTTTCAGCAATAACCTCTCTGCTCCATTCTCTCTCTAGTACTGTGATTCTCAACCAGGATGCTATAGCACCTGGGGGTGCCATGGTATCCTTTTAAGGGTGCCATGCAATTCAGGAACTGCATGTACACCTGACCTGCACATGATTCACAAGATAAGGTAAGACATTTCAAGAAAGAATCCATAGCATCTAAAACACTCTGACCTGTTGTGTTCCTTCTGTGGACCCTGGCATATGTTCACTTCATGTTGTGATGGGATTTGTCGCCTGATCGCAACAATCAGGCCTCCTGCTGTGCCACACATGCATTGCAGGATGTGCAACTTTGGGACCGGGGAAGAGATCCCAATCACACCATTATTGCTCTTCAGTGCAGGAGGAACGCAGGATCATTATCCTGGACCAAGTACCTGGTAAACTGGTGTGATCCACGGGCTGGGACCAACAATTAGCTGACTGTCTTAGCTTAGGACCACATCAGGGCTGGTTGGAAACTCTGTCCGTCTCAGCCCTGGGGCTGCACCAGAGCAAGTTCAAGGCTCTGACTAGGTCCTGAGCCTTGGACCAACAACCAGCTGATTGTGGGTTTGAACCCTGGGATTGTACCGGGGCTGGTCTCAGAGCTCCTCCATGCAGCTGGCATCAGGCTGCAGGGTGGGGACCCTGCCATACATTCAATTTAAAGCATGATACCACATATTTTGTGGCATAATTTTGTGATTTATTTTCCATTTATTGTGCCATTAACTGCCAAAATCATATGGTTAGGGTACTACTTAAGATACAATTAGTTAATCACATCTTAAGTGCAACATCTGTCAGGGGCCTGAGTTTTCTGCAACAGAAGAATTGGTCTATTATTTCTCCATAGTCAAAAATGAGTGAAAGCTAAGAGTTGGCATTTTAGGAGAAGTGGCTTGAGTCTACTGAGGGGGGTCCTGAATCTAAAAAGGTTGAAAAGCACTGCTCTATAAAATAGATTCAGATTTGAATGACGACTCTTACTTTCCATTTAAAGAAATGCCAAATCCCCTACCCATTCAAAGTTAGCTAAAGGAAGCTTTTGATGCCAAATGTTGCAGTAGTTCTGTGTCAAGAAATTGCCTTGATTACAAGAGTCAGACGGTGCAATAGGTCAGAGTGGATTTTCGCCGGCAATCACAGTTTTTCCAGCTAACCAGCTCATTTCCTCCTGAAAAGCCTGCCCAAAGAACAGAAACTAAATCAATTGTTATTGCATGGATTTCTGTGTTATAATTTTCCACAGAGACCAGAGACTGTATTTGCAAAATACAGATTTTTTTTTAACGATGAATATATACATTTAGACACATCAGCAACTCATTATGGCTGTATTAAGTATATGCACAATAAATGGAACAGTAATTTAATCTTTACCAAGTTACACTTAAAGACAGACCTTAAAGCCTTTTGATGCTGCAATATGGGCAGCAGTCCAGCCGTCTTTGTCAGCATGGTTGATGAGATCTGCAGAAACAACAGGCTTTGCTTTACTGCTGTAGTTGTCTTGATTGCACTCCAAGTCGAAGTAGTCTGAATCAGGCTCTGCATCATTCATAAAGTTTCCATTCTCTGGCTCTCCATAGTACATAAGGAGCTTGAGACTGTCAACATTACCAGAATCTACAGCTGCATGAATTGGTGTCCACCCATCCTGAACAGACAAAAATAAAAACCACAGTTGTATCACATGCACAGGAAAGTGGTTACAGAATTTGTATTAGTATTTGCTTTTATTGAACCTGCTCACTATAAATCTTTTAAATACACCAGGATTAGCTACAAAAAATGTCCAGCTTTGAGAAAGACAGTCCATATGCTGGGCTCAGTGTGTAATTGTGAGAGATACTTGATAATAAAGAGGAAAGGTAGGTGATCCCTTCTTGGGAAAATATATTTGCTTAATTATATCATATGGGGCATAATGATCCACTAAGAACATAACCCAGTGGAGAGTAAACAGAAGCGAAGAAAATCTCTGCAAAAACATTTTGCATTATGATGTAAATTTGCAGTAAATTATGATAAACTCCATTATTTACAAATCTGTTACTGGGCCTTTGTCAGATTTTTGATCTTGTTATTTACTTATTTTATTTTATATAATCACTTTTTTCCATGTACAAAAGTTGGCTTCTCTCTGCACAGGTATAAGAAAGCTAGTGCAGCTACTTTAGGAAGCAGTTTCAGTTTTTAATTCTTCTTGTTTTAAAAGGCAAACCAGGCAAATAGACAATAGTCTGAATTTTGCTCTCCAATATTTTCTTCTAATTTAATTTAAATCTTTGTGATACCTAGACAAGCTTCCTAACCATTGCAGGTGACAAATAGTATATTAGCACGGTCAGTTTTCCAGTCTCCTTTGTTTAGCAGGTAACGAAAAAACCAAAGCAAAACACATACTTCAATAAAACTCAGGATTATTCTATTGGGTTCACACCCGATTAAATTTTCACCCAGGTCATACAGCAATTTCTTCTGAAGAAACACATTTCTAATTCTAGGAATACTTGATATTCACATTTTACTTGATTAGGAAAATGGTTTTGGAAGGCATGTGGAAGGAATCCAATTCACTGCTATAACAGCAATAATTTCATATTATTCCTTTCATGACCCTGTTAAATTACTTCTCAAAACTAGTTAGGCATTTTGCCCAAATATTCCCATTACAAGGCTATTCCAGAATTTCCCTACTTAATTACTAAACATCTTCTAATTTCCAGCCTAAATTTATTCATATCCATTTGTTTCTGATTCAGTTTAAGAACCTCCTCTTTTTTCTTGGTACTTCCCTTGGATATACTGAAAGAAACTGTATCTATCTCCTTTTATTTTATTAGGCAAAATAAGCCTAACCATTCGCATCTTCTCTCTTAAAACAGGCTCTCAAATCCCCTTATTATCCTAGTACCACCCATCTGCACATATTGCAGTTGAAATTATTGTTTCTTGAACACGGACAACTAGAATTGCACATAATATTCCAAACAACGTTTTCCCAGTGCATTGTACAATGGTACTAATATTTCCCCCTCTCACTCTCCTGGAAATAGTTCATCAGAAACATTGTAGGAGTGTGTTTGCCTTCCATACAGCAGTGGATCTCAACCATTTTTGTACCAGGACCCATTTGTAAACATTGATGGCCAGTCCTGACCCAGTAAATAGTTAAAGTAGAAAACACATAAGTCTTTTGGCCCCAAAATACTTATAACACACTACAAGTTAAACCAGATTAACAGACTTAATTTTAAAGACAGAAATCAACATCAACAGGAAAACATTAACAGAAATATCAACATGTGGCCTTCCATTACTTCCAAGTGACACTTATCATTGTGCAATTTGCACAATGCAAATTGCCAGTGGCCCTCACTTCTGACTTGCAGCCCCCAGCCCTGCTGATGCCCCTCATTCCTGACCTGCAGTCCTCCGGCTCTGCTGGTGCCCCTCACTCCCAAGCCACAGCTCTCTGGCTCTGCCAGGGGCCCTTCCTCCCAAGCCACAGCCCCTCCCAGCCCTGATAGTGCCTCTCATTCCCGACTCACAACCCCCACTGCAGGGGGCTCCCAGCTGTTCACATTTAGTCCGAGTCAGAGCAGATACCTGTGGCAGCTCCAGCTTGTGCGGGGAGCAGCAGAGAGAGTCCTGCCCTGGCACAGGCTGGAGGGAGGAGGAGGGGAGGCCTGTGGCAGTCCCTGCCCTGGGCTGGGGCTCCTGCACTGTGCCAGGGGGCCTGGCCACAGCCCTCCGCCCCGGAGAGCATCTTCTGGACACCTGGCCCCTGGGAGCATGAGCACCAGCCCTGGTGGCACCAGCCAGGCCACACAGCTCCTTGCCGCCCCTGAAGGGCCCCTCACCTTCTTCCCCTGCTGGAGGGGCAGGTGCCTCCCCCCCTGTCTTGCCACAGCCCCAGCACCCGGACACCTTCCTCCAGCACTGGCAAGCACCCCACAGCCCCCCAGACAACCCCCGAGCTCTGGCCCTCCATCCCCTGCTCCCCGTAGAGTGACCTGCATCCAGCTACCAGGGCTCCTCCCACCACCATGCCTGGGTGTATGCTGGCCAAATGTGTGTGCACCCCTCTGCCTCCCACTGCCAGCTCCTTGCAGGCTAGAAGGCTGCCAGCCCGCAAGAGGAAACCCACACTTTACCATGTTTTTCTATGACTATTCAAAACCCTTTCAAGTATTCTTGTGATTCACTTTTGGGTTGCGACCCACAGGTTGATGCCTTAGAGCATCTCATCAGTGGCTCAATCATCTTGTAAGTGACCAATACACCCAGATCTTTCACCTCCTCAGTCATTTCCAATCGATAAACTCCAAGTTTATAGCAAAAGATCCTGTTACTGACAGGACTTGGTACAGTAAAATCCCTGTTATCTGGCATGAGGGGGAATGCCGGATGCCAGATATGTAAAAATTCCAGTTATCTGAGGCAGATAAGATGAAGCGGAGGGGTAGGAGGTGGCAGCAGCCGCACGTGGAGCAAGGGGGTGATGGTGGCTGCATGTGGAGTGGTGGCAGTGCAGGGTGGTGGGAGGCAGCGGCGGCTGTCGCATGAGAGCTTTCCCCGCCTCCCCCCGCGTACGGCCGGCTAGACAGAAATTCCGGTTAATAGAGTATTCTGGTTTGTAGAATGCTGGATAACAAGGATTTTACTGTACATTGAAATTACACCCCAATTCTTGTGGTCAGCCAAGGCTTTCTGTATAACACTGACTTCTGTGCATGCCTAGAAACTTCTTGTCATTACTAAGAGTACAAATTGCACTCTTCTCTTGCAGTCTTTTTGTGCCAAGATTATTACTGAAAAGCATTAAGCAGGGGTCCCAACACTGTTCCTTAAGAACTTTACCAGGAACCGCCTTTGGCCTGATAGCACACATTTCAATGCAACCCATTGTTAGATTCCTGCTAGCCAGTTCCTTGCCCACCTTACAATTATTGTATAAATTCCCATTTTAACTAATGATGTCCTTTGTGGCACTGTGTCAAATGCTTTATACATTTCCTTTGTTTAGGGAAAGTTCTCTTATCAAACATAGATATTGTGTTACTTGGATGTAATGTAACTTTTGTAAATCAAGACTGCATTTCATCCTATTGTCCATCTCATCCTCCATATCTTAATTAACATTTTCTTTCAAATTTATTTTAAACATTGCATGCTATGAAGCCTAAGCTAAGGGTTTATTATAAGGAATAGTCCAACCATTTTTTCTCTTTTTTTAAAAAAGGTGTTACATTTGTTATTCTTCAGTTACACAGTATCACTCCTCTCAATTTAACAATTTAAAATCTTTGCTATAAAATTTACCATTTAATGTGGCAATTCTTTCAGTATTTTATGGTGGAAATTATTAAATCTCCTAGATTAGAATCCATTAAACGCTCCAAGTTTCGTTTCTGCTTCCTTTTTTATTATTTCTATTCTCTCATTCTAGTTACCTATCCTACCTTTGCTCCTATGTTTAGTACCATCATTACTTTGAAAACCACATAATTTATTTAGTCTTAAGGCCTCATTCAATCTCTTTTCCTTCAACAACAGAGTCATGCTTCTGGGGTTTTTTATTATTATTTTTATTGTTATGGGTAAATAAACTTTTGCTATTTAAGTTGTCTCAGAAGGTCTACCTCAGCTTGACCACTGGCAATTCTCACTATCTTTGCACCTTTTCGCCACCAAGATATACTTTACTGTGATCAATCCTTTTTTCTATTTTTGTAGGCTCTCTGCTTATACCCTATCTTACCCATCTGTTCCATCTGTATGTCTGTGTCTATTTTTGGTGTAACAAGCCAGGTTTGCAATTTGGGCAAACACTGTAGGGAACAGGAGTACAGCAATGGCACAGAAGTCTTATAAAAAACAGTGTCCAGCTTTGGCTGCTGCCACGTGCTGTACTCACTCTGGACAGCAGCAGCAGCAGCAGCACAGTCTGCTGCCAGAACAATGCTGTGAGGCTGCTCTTGCTGCTGGGGTGCAGACTCCACGGGGAAGGGGATTATTTTGGCACCCTTACCAAATCAGCGCCAGGGGCTGCTGTCCCCTTCTCACCCACCCCTACATATGCTATTGCTATCTATCTGAGGATGTTTTGAAGACATCCAGTTAGACTGACAAGTCCGTTTGTTTTTTTTTAACCTCGCTTTCTCTAAGTCCAATTGACTTTAGTATCTACCTCCCCTAATTTTTCAGACTTTCCTTTTGAAATCAAAGACTCTAGCTACCAACCTGTTGCTATTTATCCTTAACATTGAATGAAAATGACTCAGACTTGTGCTCATTTGATTCAACTTTTCTATAATTTTCTCTTTTATAATGTAGTCACTATCAGCAAAATAAGGCTAAAACATCACCTCTTTAAAACAGACAGCCACAGAGAAATCATTTTTAAGGGAGAAACACCTTGAAATAGATTGAAAAAAAAAAAATTAGAAAAAGTTTACGATTTAAGGTCTTGCAGTTTTTGCTCTCAAAATGTAACTTTTAAATTATTATTTGCTCAATTATCACCACCCCTTCATAATGGGGCTTGACTACGTGGCACAAAGAACACAACACAAGGAACCTTCCACCCTTTCATGATCCCCCCAAGAACAGAACACAACGGCTATTTTCATACACCCCTTACAACAAAGAGTGCTTCAGGGCTCTTTTAACAATGACAGTTTACCTGAAAGGGCTGGGTTCACAGACTTAATTACCTGGGACACTAAATAGGGAAGCAGTTCCCACAGAGGTGGGAACACATGCTATACATTTTTCCAATGGAAGCACAAAAGCAATGCTGAGGAAATGGGGAGCACTCTGAAGGGAGTGGGCAAGGTTTTCAGTAGTGATATTGGGGGATCAATTTTTTTGGATTATCTCCATTTCATGAATGTGAATCAGAGATACAATTAATAACAGGCACTGCTGCATGCTGCCATAAGTCAACTTGCTGCCCAGTGTTTTTTTTCCATTACTGCTTCCTCTGATTTCAAAACCAATTAAGTTGACTTTCTACAAAAATACTCACCATAAAAATAATCAGGAACCAGAATGTATTTTAAAGGTTGCAATATATTCAAACCTACCTACATATTAGTATTTCTGAACAGCCCAAATCCTACATATATTAACATTCACATTTTTAAGCAATAGTCAGGTGCATCTAAACATGGGGATGCCTATCTTTTCATTTAAAAGCTGTCCATCTCATATTGGCGCACACTTTCATTTTGGCCTCTTTTTTCTTTTGTGTTAATTGTCTATCTGTAAGAATTTCTCTTACTGTCTTTCTCGAAAACATGCTTTCTGCAAGGACAACAATGATCTGCTATCAGATAAAACATCCAAAAGCCTTGCATTGGAGGTATTACACTGCAACAGAAAGCATGTTAAGCGGATGGGTTCATCTCCATCTCTATTGTTCTATGCAAGAACATGGTAGGCAAGAAGCTGCACAGTAAATTTAAGATTTGTAAGGCTTAATGTAAAGTTAAGTGACTGCTTTAGGGAAAAATATGCAGCCTAAAGAAGAAGAAAACAGTGGCATGAAGCAATATGGAAAAGTCATTTCAAAAGTCTTAAGTATACTGTATACTAAAGATGACTTAAGAATTCCATGTCAAACATCTTAATTTTGTAGTTATTCAGCTCTATAGTCATACTGTAGCTTAATATAGTCTTTTAAACTTACAATGGTTTTCACACTTCGATCTGCTCCAGCTTCCAGCAAGAGTTTGATACATTCATTATTTCCATTTCTACAGGCCAGGTAGAGAGGTGTCTGTCCTCTTTCAGCAGCATGATTAACATCAGCCTGGTACATAATTAATAATTCTGCACACCTATAAAAGGAAACACAAAAGGGACAATACAATGAAAAAATATTTAGATGACTTAATAGGTGTAAAGAATCATAGAAAATTAGGGTTGAAAGGGTACTCAGCAAGTCATCTAGTCCAATCCCCTGCTCAAAGTAGAACCATTCCCAACTATATCATCCCAGCCAAGGCTCTAACTTGGTCTGAAAAACCTCAAAAGATGGGGATTCCACAACATCTCTGGGCAACCTGTTCCAGTGCTTTACTACCATCCTAGTGAGAAAGTTTTTCCTAATATTTAACCTAAACTTCCCTTGATGCAACTCGAGAACATTGCTCCTTGTTCTGTCATCTGCCACCACTGAGAACAGTAGCTCCATCCTCTTTTGAACCCCGTTTCAGGTAGTTGAAGGTTGCTGTTAAATCCCCCCTCAGTCTTCTCTTCTCTAGACTAAAATATCACAGTTCTCTCAACCTCTCCTCAGTAGTCAAGTACCCTAACCATTTTTTGTGGCCCTCCGCTGGACTCCTTTTAATTTATTGACATCCTTTCTGTAGTAGGGGGCCCAAAATTGGATTTGGGACTCCAGATTTGACCTCCAGTGCTGAATAGAGGGGAAGAATCACTTCCCTTGATCTGCTGGCAATGCTCCAACTAATGTATGTATATTGTGAGCTCTCTTGGCAACAAGGCACACTGTTGGTTCATATTCAGCTTGTTGTCCACTGTAGCCCCCCAAGTCCTTTTCTGCAGAGCTGCTGCTTAGCCAGTTAGTCCCCAGTCTGTACCAGGGCATTGGACTGCTTTATCTAATATGCAGGACTTGTCCTTATCAACCCTCATGAGATTTCTTTTGGTCCAAACCTCCAATTTGTCGAGGTTTCTCTGAATCCTAGCCCTACCCTCCAGTCTATCTGCTACTCCCCCCAACTTGTTGTCACCTGCAAACTTGCTGAGGGTGCATGCTATACCATCTTCCAGGTCACTGATAGATATTTAACAGAACCAATCCCAGGACCAAACCCTGTGGCACTTTGCTTCATATCAGCTACCAACCAGACATCAAGCCATTGACTACTACCCTCTGAGCCTGACAATCCAGCCAGTTTTCTATCCACCTTACACACCAATTCATCCAACCTATATTTCCTTAGCTTGCTGGCGAGAATATTGTGGAAGACCATATCAAAAGTCTTGCTAAAATCAAGGTATACCATGTCCACTGCTTTCCCTGCATCTATGGAGCCAGTCATCTAATCATAGAAAGCAATCATGTTGGCCAGGCATGGCTTGCTCCTGGTGAATCTATGCCGACTGTTCCTAATCACCTTCTCCTCCAAGTGCCTAGAAATGGATTCTTTTAGGACCTGCTCCATGATTTTTCCAGAGACTGAGATGAAGCTGACCAGTCTGTAGTTTCCCAGATCTTTCTTCTTCCCTTTCTGAAAGATAGGGACTATATTTGCCCTTTTCTAGTCATCTGGGACCTCTCCCAATCACCACAAGTTTTCAGAGAAAAATGGCCAGTGGCTGCAATCACATCAGCCAACTCCCTCAGCACCCTCGGGTGCAAGTCCAGCCCTATGGATTTGTACATGTCCATCTTTTCTAAATAGTCCCTAACCTGCTCTTTCACTGCGAACCTGTTAGCTGCTCACCTTTTTCCCAAATTGTGGTGCCAGGTGCAGTAGTCTGGGAGCTGACCTTGCCTGTGAAGACTGAGGTAAAAAAGGCATTGACTACTTCAGTTGCAGGGGTTTAGGTTGTAGCTGTGTTGGTCTAAGGACATAGGCAGACAAGGTTCCTTGGGTGAATTTGATATCTTTTATTAGACCAACCCAAATGGTTGGAGAATAGTTATTAAGCAAGCTTTTGGGTTCAAAAACCCTTCGTCGGGCTCAGGAAGCTGCAGCAGTTGGTGTGTGCTCTTCCTGGATGGAATGAAAAGTAAAGAAGCCAGGGGCTGGGCTGGGCTGGGGAGTCCGTTGCCAGGCAGATTGTAATGTATCAAAAATCCAATGTCTATGTTTAGTCCCTGATCTCTAGTATCCAGCAGGTTGATGAAATGGAGCTCACAGGCTCGTCTCTGGAAAGTGTTGTGTAAGTTTCCCTTGAGGATCAGGACTGAGAGATTGGAGAGAGAGTGGCCCTCCTGTGAGAAATGTGCCCCCACCGGTAATTG